TTTTTTTTTTTTTTTTTTTTTTTTTTTTTTTTTGAATCAAGAGCTTCATTTAGTCAAAAGAAGAAGCATTGTTGTTTACTCCCTCTTCTTTGTTTTATTTCTTTCTAATGATACTTTGACCTGTAGAAAATAGATCCTTTATGGCAGTTTTAGACAGTGTTTATGAATTCTTGACTTTGTCGAATTAGATTTCTACTTCTATGGTTCGCTTGATTTTTTCATTTTAATTTTTCAGGGAAATTTCGCAAATACGTTTTCCTGTCACCAATAAGTCAATCTTTAACCACGACGTAATATTTTGGTTGGGTGATTTGAACTATCGTCTTGAAACTCCAGCTGATATGTCTCTTGATGTTGTTCGTGAGAGGTGTTCTTCTAGTGAGACGTTCCCATCTATGTTTGCTTATGACACAGTAGGTGGCTATGTCTTTACAGACTTAATTATGTACTTTAATATTTCCATTACTTTCTTCTCTTTTGTTACCATTGTTGAGTGGTACATATAAAAAATTTTTGTCAATTGTACCTTTATTTCTATATATTGTTGCTGTTTCTTCGCTCATTTTTGAGAGCTGTCATAACTTATTTTTAGTTAAAGCAGCAGCAGAAATTGAGCCAAGTTTTTGTCAATTTTCATGAACCAGAGGTGTTGAAATTCCGGCCATCTTATAAGTATGATGCTGGAACGTCGAACTGGGATAGCAGGTGGTTTTTCAACTGTTTTCTTTATCTGTTTTTCTCCCACGCTTATTATAGTTTTACTTTCAGTGAGAAATGCCGTTGTCCAGCTTGGTGTGATCGAATTTTATGGTATACGGAATCAAGTGATCGGATTGTTCAAACGCTTTATGACAGCATTGACGATGTAAAGCTGTCAGATCATAAACCTGTAGTTGCTGCTTTCCAATTAACTGTGCGGATTTGGGATTACGTGGAACTTCAGAAGGTTTTTGAAGAAGCTACTCGAGAGGCTGATAAAAGAACTAATGAAGCGTTGCCCCAAATTTCGCTTTCGACAACAGAGGTGGACTTTTTTGTCATAATTTAGAAAATTTTTGGTACCTACCATTTTGTATGTATTTTCCATATTTTTACTTTACTGGTTTTTAGGTTGATTTTGGTGAAGTTTATTTTTTCGAAAGTTCAGTAAGAACGGTGACAATAAAAAATGTTGGAAAAACGAAAGTATCGTTTAAGTTTACTCCTCATCCAGATCGTCAGACCATCAGTGAGTCGTGGCTCTCTGTTACCCCTCCAGATTCTCATGTGAAGGTTGGCTCGACGTGTCTGCTAAGCCTCCAGGTTGTGTTAGCTTAGAGTCGACCAATTTTAAATCATCTTTTGAAATGAAGCCAACACATCAACTTTTTTAGCTTTAATTTTTTAGTTATTGCTTTTAAGGTCTGTTGCATTTTTAATGAGATAGTGATAACGGCGTATTGAGTGTTTATTATTATTGCTTTTTGAACTTTCGAACTTGTCATTTTAGTTTTGAAAAAGCTTGGTTTTTTACTTCTTTGTATTAATTTTAGACGACAAGGCACGTTAGAGGTGTAATCTGTGTAAAATGCCAAAATAACAATATATACGAGACAGTATTAGTAAGAAGGTGATGGAACATAGGCGTAAACACAGTTGAGGTACAGTTAACGCGGGAAAGACATCTGAGAACAGCGAAAATGAACTGTATTGTCTTAGATTTCCTCGAATTCATGGAAAAACGAGCATTTCTTTCATAAACAATCCTAAATAATTGATTCTTAATTTTCGGGATGTGTGCAAAGGGGAAGGTTCAGCAAGGAATGCTGTTGTAAGAAGCGATCTAGATTCGTAAGTTATGCCCACAAAGGTCGTTTGGTTGGCAGCGAAAAGTTAGAAAGGCATTAGATGCTCCAACAAGATCATCAGCTGTTCTATGCAGTTTGGCTAATCTTTTCTTAATGGAGTTTATTTAAATGGTTTCCAAGTCAGGGATATTTGACCTCACGGTACAATCTGATGCGCATCTGTTAAGCTTGCTCGTTTAAGCTATAAGGCATCTTTCTAAAATTTGAGTAAATCAACAATTTTTGAGGGTGATATACCACGGAAGTGTAATCAGTTATAGATGAGGGAAAACTTGCAGTTTCGTTTCTGTTTCCCTTAAGGGATAAAGCTGCCTTGAGTTGGCTCACTTGACTGCGTTAAATAATCGTATTATCATTTGTTTTTTTTTCACAACAATTTAGTTCCATGTCAGCTTTTAGTTTTTTTATTTTCTCGATTCAATTTTGCTTTCATTAGTGCAGCTTGTAAGCGATGGTCACGCGGACTGAAATTGTTTGAAATTGTGTGAAAAAAGTTTTTTTATAGTGTTTATTTTTTTGTTTTGGGGCGTTAATTTAAATAACACTTACTTTAGCAGCTGTTAAGTTATTTTAGGTGTTAGTTGATAAGAAAGTTGCTTGGTCTGTGGCAGGCGATGGCCACCTTTCTGAAATACTCGTCCTTCGTCTTGATCATGGCAGGGATTATTTCATACCTATTAGTGCCCGTTATAAAGCAAGTGTTTTTGGCTCGTCGTTTGTTGATCTTATTCGACAGGAGGCGAAGACGCCATCGAGTGTCTGCAATTTAATTGATTTGGTTAGTAATGTCACGGTTCTAGCTAACTTCAGTTCAGTATGGATTCATGTTTTTTATTTTTAATACTATACCACGTTTACTTTTTTTTTTTCTTTAGCTTTATTCAGTAACTTTAGTTTTTTTATTCATTTGGTAGCTGTTTATCATAACAGGATCCAAGTGATAGGAAAGAAGAACGAATACAGCTTCCATCGGTTCCTTACGCGATGTACGCTCTGGTTGAGAACCTTCGGAAACATGGCTTAGAAAAAATTCGTTTCAATGATGTATCTCGTCATTCTGAATTTATTGCACTGAGAAAGGCTCTAGACGCAGGCACTCCAGAAAATTTGTGTTAGCGCTTTCTTCTTCTGCTTCTCTAATTATTTCTACAAAAGATTAGTCGACTTTCAGAGTTTTTGCTGTTTCTTTTGCTTTACAATTTCTTTTTCAGTTGAAGTTTGTAAGTCACCGTTCAACATGTTTAATACGTTGCTTCGGCTTCTCGATTCATTCAAAGGTGAAGGCGTTTCAACTATTTCTAAGAAAACGAGATTTCACTGTAGCTTTTTTCCACTTTTCATTAAACCTCAGTAAATTTATTTTGGACAGCAAATAAAGAATTGTGTTGTTTTAGATTCAATCATTCCGTCTTCAGTGCAGAACGAATGCTTGAGGACTAATGGCGACGTAGTTCGATGTTGGGAGTGTGTGTTGAAATTCCCAACCGAAAATCGAAATGTCTTTGAGTACTACGTGGAATTTGCACGGGAACTTATCTCCAGAAATACAGATGCATACTGTTAGTATTACTGATCAAAACGTTTTTCAAAATTTCTTTGTTATCAGTGCTTCGTGTTAAAACAAACTTTTTATAGCAGTTTGGGTATTTTCACTGGTATTGCTTGAAAAGTCACGAAATCTGCATACAAGTGCCCTGAATTTTTGCTAAGTGCCCAATGGGTCAACGCGCGACTTTTTTAGGATGTACATGCGTTGATTTTCTGTTGTTTTCTCTTTTCTGACATCTTCACGACTTTTATAGTGTGTTTTAATACCAACAATTTAATTTCATTTGTTACAAAGCTTATTTAACATGGATTTTTTTCAGCGCAGTTGCAAGTTATGGCTGACATAGCTTTCAAAGCCGAACCTTCAAGAAGGGAGGAAAGTGGAAGTTTGAAACGTCTGCAATTTTTTGAGCTTGTGGTTGCATACACCAAAGAAAGCACTATGGGGCTGCGTGAATCTGTACCTCAATCAGATCTTATTTCTTTATGACTGCCAGAAAAAGAAAACGAGGTTCGATTATTTTTTGCTTATTCTCCGCGTATAATTAGTCATTATCTGGAAAAGCTAAACATTGATTTTATAAATGAATTTATTCTTAGTGCAAATCTGTACTGATATGCTTTCAAATGGTGATGATTTTAAAAATATTCTCTCACTATTCGTTGTTCACTTTTTTTACTTTGTTTAATTTCTGTCGAAGTCCTCCATCGCTGAAATTATATTGGATTTCCCCTCTTTTGGTGGTTAAAAAATGCTGAGTTATAGTTCTTTTCAACAGTGCGTTGGCTAATAATTTATGTGTACAGTGTGCAATATTATAACCTTATAGTTATTATTTAAATACTTGCATTTAAACTTTGTGCCATTCTGCACGGAAGACTCTTATTTCTCTTTATCTTGCTTCCTCGTCTGACCTAGTTTTTTTAGATCAAAATTTTGCCGTTAATATTGGCCTGTTACCACTGAAAAAAATTGGAAGTCCCATCTATTTTTTGCACTTTTATTAATTTCCTGCTCTCGTTAAGAAGCAGAAACTTGTATCACTTGCTGTACAATGCACCATTTGCACTAAATTTACACTGCGTCGTATTCCGAAGTAGAGGAAATTGATGAAATTTTCAAACTGTAAAAGATTGGAAGCTTTTTTTAGTTTAAATTTCGGCCGTGGGTAAAAGAAGTTGGAGCCTTTATGCATCCTCGATTTCCTTTTTTTTTTTTTTTGATTGGCGCATGTGTCAGTATTCTAAAAGAGTTTACGCGTTCATAGTGAATGATTTACATACAGTTATGTACTACAATTCGAGTTACAAAGTTTCGTAGGAAGTTTTTTTGCAAACGATATTATGTGCTATTTTCTGTGTTGTTTCAGCGGATCTGTGACAGTTTGAAGTTCTTTATATTTGGTTTTGCTCAAAGGTATTATTGGTTTTAATATAGAAAGCATCGAAGTCAAGCTTTAAATTTTGTTGAGCGTTGTTTTTTCGTCAGTTGGGACTCTTGTTTCATAATGTCATTTTTAGACAAAATTTTTTTCTGAATCATGAGCCGCTGTGCTTAGTTTTTTTACTGTTTATGGTAGCTGATTGTTCTCGGTGTTAATGTAACTTGAAGTTTTCTGGTGATCTTTTCATATATTAAAAAATTTAGTGCAGTAGTATTTCACTATCAGATAAAGTTTGTATTACGGTAGGTCTGTTTGGTTTTTTTTCTCTTTGCTGATGTTGGGAGTGCAGTTTTTGTGCAGATGTTTTTTCTCCTGTCAGTGTAGTCCAGTTGCATTACAGTCTCGTCTAGTCAACGTTGTTCAGCTTATGCTTTCGAATTCTTTTGCTTAAGATACATTAGTCGTTGTTCAATGGTAATAAAAGGATTTGTAGCTTTATTTGTTGATTCTGCTGTTATTGCGTTAACACTTCGCGTTATTTAGAGTTATTCAAAGTTATAGGATCTAGAATCTGTTGAAATAATTCAGATCTGATTTTTATCGTTAATTTGCCCATTTTTTTGGTTTAAATTTTAGGATTCTTAGTACACCGACCACTACTAGTTCCTTCTAGAATTGAAAGATTTTCTTAAAAAAGTAACGGTGTTTCTTGTACAAATTTGGGCTGCCGACTTATCATAGTAGTAGTTTGGCAGCGTTATTAGTTCGTATTAACTGCACCATGTACGCTCTTAAAACCAGGCTGATTCTTCATTTCAGTTTTTAGTGTTTTGGCCATGTCGAGTTGGTTAGAACAAGCAAAAAAAGCTACAAAAAGATTCTCTGAGATGATGTATTTGCCATCTGAAGACTTGAAGGATGTAGAAAGAGAATTGGCTGTTGAGGACTGTTGTAAAAATGCTGCGGATGTCCCCACTGATCATTCTGACGCGGAAGAAGGAAAATTGGTAGATTCTCAATCAAACCTAAAACAGGTTGCTGCAGATTCTGCAAAAGATGCGATTGAAGCTGCGAAAAAGTTGGCAAGTCAGTTTTGTCAACTGAGTAATTCGTTGCACTAATTTACATCTTTTTTTCTTTTATACTACACCATCAAACGGAGTATCTCTAACTTTTTGGCCCATTCTTCTACAGTACTTTTTGGCCTGAGAGATTTCAGCAGTGAGTGTTTAGGTCTGTTGTCTCAGATAAAAAGCAAGGTACGAGTTTTCAACCAGAATAAGCGATTTTGAAGTTTTAGGTTCTGTATTTCTTTTTGCGAAAGAGGCAACTGTTAAAGCAACGGTGACTGCAGAGGAGACTGCAAGGAAATTTCAATCAGTTGTCGCTGAAAAGGTTATTTATTTTAATTCTTTGGTCGTTTCTTGTTTAATTTTGTTCACTGATCACGTATTTTTAGACAATCATAGGTGAGCTCGACAAAGAACAGGAGAAATTTGCTGCTTATGTGGATGCTAATAAGCTGATAACTGGAGCGCTTCCCTGGTCAGATTTACCTGATCAGCCGATTGCAAAAAAGCATATATTGGCCCTCTCTCTGGTTAGTTCCAATCTACTGCTTTTTCCTAGAAGCTACTTTTTCACCCACCTGTTTCTTTCTCGGCTTATTGTAGTGCTTCAAGTAAATTGTTTATTCCAAAGTCAGCTGGTGAAGTATCGGACAGTCAGAACTTAACTTCTGGTTTTTTTGGGAGAAATTTTTTAAAAAAAAAGAGATGGGCTTCAAAACTTTTGTTTGAAAATGCTGTTTTGTCATTTGTGCAAGAAATAGTGAAGTGTAGTCAGTCTTTGGTCAGGTGGGTACAAAAGATGGCTGTGGCGTCAACAAATTTTTTTATTCTCTTTTCTGTGTCTTAAAGATATGTTTCCTTTTGTTATAAAATCTCGTAATGGAATGGTGTCTTCAATATTTTTTTGACATTTTTTCAATACAGGATACTCGAAACTTTCTTCGAGATCCTCCTACGGAAACCAATTTTGATTTTCAAAGAATGCAAACCGTAGCTGCAGCGTTGATGGAGGAAGACCCAAACTTGCGTAAAGTCCGTTATCAGTTGGTCCCAAAACAGTAAGCGTTGCGAAAACTTAAACAGATTGATTTTTTCATTTCAAAATAGAACTGTTTCATTAGACTAAATCACATTTTTCGTGTTTAAAAGATTTTGTTTGAGGTTTTTGTTTAAAAAAATCTGTAGTTACTTATTTAGAGTGAGTGAAGAAACGTTCTGGAGGAACTATTTTTATCGTATTTCTTTGGTACGACAGTCAATTCTTGGACAACACAACATGGTTGAAGAAGAACCTATCTGCTCCAGAGAGAAAGAAGAGGAAGATAACAAGAATCCATCTGTAGAAGATTCTGCTGGGACGTCATCAAGCGAAAATCAGACAGATGACAAAAACATCCCAGATTCAAGTAAGAATGATGATAAAGACCAGTCTGATGCTAAGAACTTGGAACAAATCAAGGAGATGGTTGCGGCTGCAAAGGAAAAAGGTCTTTTACTCTTCTTAGAAAAATTGCTTGAAGTTTAAGCTTTGCTATATTTACCGTTTGATGTGTTAAAAGAAGGTCTTTGAAGACTACCTGTGTTTGGCAACTGTTGGACTGTTTTTTTTAGAGAGAGATGAAGAATGGGAAGAAGAAATATTGCATGAGTTGAATGATTACGAAATGGTGGCTAAAGAAACTGGAAAAAGCGAGGAACAGTGGGAAGAAGAAATTAATGAACTTTTAAACACTTCTTAGTTTGTCTGTTTCCCAACTATTTACTTATCATGCTGAAGTACGGAGGTCATTTTCTGTTTTTGCTGATACTATGTATTCGAGACGCAGACATAGCGGCCTCATTTATAATTACTGGTGTTAACAGTTTAAGTTGTCGAATAAGGAACTTTCGCAATTGTTTTAGCTTGAAAAGTAGATAAGTTGTGGGGTTAACTTGTTATTCTTTGGGTTAAGGGGTTTTTACATGACTTACAGTTAATGAGCTGTCTGTTTGACCGGACAGAAAGATGGGCTGGGCGACTGGTCTCGCTTGAGTACCATCAGACTAGGAAGAAAGATGTTTGGAAATTAATGATAACGGGCAAATAAGTCATATTTTTGCCGACATGTTAATATTTTGAGCAGTCGCAAAGCATTGAAAAAAATTTTATTTATCTTTTTGAAAGACAGATTGTGTTCTCTAATTGACTTTGAGAAACTAATAAGAAGCATTTTTGAAAGATGTCTGTCTCTGGCTTTTTGCTTCCTTTTATTAACTACGCGTCAATACTTTAGGTTTGTATCTTTTTATTCTGATGCCAGACTATGCGTCTTTTAACCTGTTTTAAAAAGTTCAGATAACGCTCTTATTCCTCCTTCATCATTGGTAATTGAATTCACTTGTTCTTTTTGAATTTGAGCAGTCGTGAACTGTTATGTACATAAGCGTTCTGTGGCTTAATTGTCCAACATGTTAATACTACAAAGATTGGGAGTGTATTTAATTGATTGTATAAGAACGATTAGTATTTTTTTTAATTTCATGTACCAAATTTTTTGACGGTAAATATCGTTACCTAACACCGACTATGAGTTTTAATGGAAACGATGGTAGTTATTAAAAAATATTGTATAGTCAAAACTCATTCATTCCGAACAGTTACAAAAGTATCACGCTCAGAGTGGACAGCAACTACAAAGCACTGAGGAAGGTGCCAAAAACGCCAGTCAGTCTGCTCTAGTTTTCTTCGAAAATAGATACCTCTTTAGTTTAAAAGCTCAATTTTTTTTAATGTAGTTTTTTCTCAGTCGTTCTGAGTAGTGAAGCGTAGTGGAAGACAGGCGACAGCGGCCCAGGCGTTAATTAACGAAAAGGGATTGGGAGGCCTATGGCTATTACAAGCTTGACGAACATGTTCGTGTTTTTGGTTCATGGAGATGGTCAAGTTTGCAGCTTGCAGCTGAATAGGCCCTCTTCTAGCCGAAACAGCAATTTCACTATTTATCCTCTTAAGGAGTCAAGTTCTTTAGTTTCCGTTTAATTCTGCCAACTAATTCTTACAGAGATTTCGCCCCTTGTGTTTTCTTCTGCCATTCTGCAAAAATTAGACCTTTAGTGTGACTTGAAATAACGGAGTGTACTTTGCCGGATTCTCCTCTACTATTAAGTTACCCAACTTATTCTCCTTAGCACTAGTTGAGTTTTATTTTACTGATTCCGTCAACTTCCTGGGCTTTCCCACGATACCTCCGCAAGAACTCGACATTTGTTTTCCATCCAGTTTTGAACATTTTTCTCTTCACAGTGAAGTTTGTTGCAATTTACCATATCTTTTTCGAATCAAAATACTTTGACTAATTTTATTTTTAGTGTTATCCACATCTTCGACTACCAGAAATGTGGCCAATGACTAGCAATTTCACCATTGATCAGAGTGCTTCATTCTTGTGCTCTGTCTTTGTAATATTCTCTATGTAAAATTATTACACTATGGAGAATATGTTATGATAATAGTTTTTAATCCTACTTAACAAGGTGACATATCAATAAGTTTCTAATTACAGAAAAATACGGTTTTTAGAAAACTTTATGCATATGTAATCACTGAAAATTGAAGTTTCAGAGAAGAGTATTCCAAAAAGTATTCCATTTAATTACAAGTATTACAGATGCTGTATCATCAGCACACAAAAAACTTATTATACTAGCAGTCATGCCGACTTGTATAAATGTGAATCTTTCTGTAAAATCAAACCTTTAATCCCTTTAGTTTCTATTGCTTCCTCCTCAACCTTCAAAACAGTCTCTAAGAAATCTCGATTTTTGATTAATTTTATTTGAACATACATATATTTAATCCTAAAAGAGTGTGAAAGAAGAAATGTCGGTGTAAACTTCTGGTGTCACAAATAAACCTTTAACTAGAAGTGACTAAAAGAGTAGCTAATGAACAAAATCTAAAAAGAAAAATTTATCAGCGAATCAGCAGCACCTGAAATTTCATAAAGATGTACTAAGTAAGATAGAACGATAAACTGAGTTTACAAAAACATTTTGACACTCTGTCATTTCCCAAAATTTTTCAGACCTGATGTTGAATCTTTCAAATTTAAATTCATTCCAATTAATCGAAAGTAATAGTGATCAAAAATACATCTGTTTGTAGTCACTGCAAAACCCATCACTTCATCCATCTAACAAGTCATGAACTCTGTAGAACAATTTCATTAAGGATTCGAATAGTACTGCGTAGTAAACAAGTCGGGTTTTTGAAAAGGGATTTACAGCGACAGCACTTCTATCCGTTAACGTAAATGCTGCGGCTGGACAGTGGGTTGGTTTATTCAGTCAGTTCACATCCCAAGGAATGTAAAATCTTCTTCGACGGATGGCGAGCGATTAAACTTCAATTACCTCTGAACCTTTTGCAGGGCTAAATCTACATCAAGAACCGCTTAGATGAATGCAGAATTATCGTTACCTCATTTATACGACTCTATATAGTTCACGGAAATAAATTTGCCAAGACTGAGTGACAAAGCTTTGCATTTACAGCGGTATTTGATACTTTCCAAAAAGTCTTAGCTCATTTCCATCTGATAGGCTGTTTAAAACTACTCAAGAGATTGTGGGGTAAGACTTAAAGAACTCTTCTGAGAAGAGAATTTTGAATATCAACAAAATCAATTGTCAGTAAGGTTAAAAAGAAAGCAGAGCCAAAAAAACCGTTAATTGAAAAATCCGTCTAGAATTTCATTTTTAAAATCCTCCTCCAGACATATAAAGAGTTTCTTGTGAAATATGTAGCAAGTGTTCACAAAGAGGCTGTCGCGCAGGCGATTTGTGTAATTGTCTTGAAGGTCTCGAGAAATCCTTATAAACTTAAGGCAAGATAAAGTTCTGTGTAGTCAAAAAGTGGCATGTTACCAAAAGGTTGCTACTTTTTACGGATGTGTTTAGTTTAAAAATAACATTTTTACAAGCAACCCAAAAATAACCGTTCAGAAAATTGCAAAATGCTTGAATTTAGAGTAGTGTCTTCAATTTTACAAAATGTCAGAGGTGATGCTAAAGCAAAAGGTAGAAGCTGAAAAGCAGAAACATCTGCGGTGAAGCACCTGAGGTCAGCCAAATTATTGTCTCCTCATTACGAAAACCTGAAAGCATGACCTCGTTTCAATCTGCAGTTATAAGTAATGCTATTTCATCTGTCATACTGCGGTTTCCCAACTTCTCATCCATTCAGCTTTCTTCAGCAAGCCCTCCTACGGCATAGTTGTTACATATCTTCAATAAACCTGATATCGATAGCATACTGAATAATCAAAAAAACACATCAGAATTTTCACGATAACAAACTCTCACTTTCACTATCCGATTATGAAAGCAGCGTCCACGACTTATCCTGTTGAAAAGAAGAATGACATAAAACTTCTGCTTATTAAGTTCCCAAAAGAACATGGCCAGGTATCTGGAGAATCGGCCAGGAAGCGCTGTCAAAAAGGATTGACAAAACTGTTAAGCGGACTCGAAGGTCCTAGATGAAATTAACTTTGAGCTGTTAATTGAATGGAACGGCAAAAGCTTTGTGGAAGATTTAAGAGGATGATCAGCTGGCAAGAAAAGCAAATAAAAGTTCATAAAAAAATACACTGCTAATATGGTGAAGATATTCTGCAAAGCAAAACCCTGTGGTCTATCATTCAGACGCTATTAACAAAACAGTATCAACAGACTTCCGATGTAAATGATTGGATCCAAAAGACATCATTAATATGTAAATTTGATGTTAACAGATCAAAAGTTTTTCTCAGAGAGACAAGCAATACCTGGACTGACGTGGAAATGAAAGTTAAAGTATACTGAGATAGAAAATTTTAGAGAACTTAAGTGAGCTCTATTAATATTTTGTAAAAAACCTGCAGTACTATCCGTGTGAAGGACTAATTATGGAGTAAGGAACAACAAAAATGATTTTATAAACTAAATTCTTTTTGAACATTACTATCTTTTCTCTTGTACTCGTTTTCCATTTTTTCAGATGAATACACAAACGACAAAATTCATAAATAAATTTAGAAAAAGATAACAGTCTCAAAGTTCTCACAACCTTTCATATTCTATATATCGTCTGTTCTTCTCATTGTTTATGTAAACTTCCGCAACATCAAAACGTTGTCGTTGTAAAAAAGTACCCCGAGTGCTGACTCAAACAAAATTTTCGCTGATCTCTGAACCACTTCGACTCCCTACATTTCACCCAACATTATTTAACGATGCAACTGTCGTTAAGGAACTGTCTCGAAATACGTTCATGCGAATCACCTAGTCAGTCAGTAATCTTCTTACTCAGAAGTAGTACATTTGCCTTCTTCATATATATATATATATATATATATATATATATAT